CTTTGTCTAACCTCATATAATGTACTACGGGAGCTATACCCCGATCCGAATATCCTACCCACTAAATTAGAGCTGGAATTATGTGAGGCTCTAATGTTTTCCAGAATATCATATTGCGATAGTGTATATGGTCCTGCATTACTCCAGTCTGATTCTACAGAATTCTTGTATTCAATTTGCATATGGAATTTGAAAATTTGATCACATTAGTGGAAATCTTGCAGATTCCGCATGGCTCAACCTGGAAAAAATGCGTAAACTTCATCACTCTCATCCACAAAGTTTTGATTGAAATATATGATTTTTTAAAGTTTTTCTTATGAGATGCCAGCCTACCTATTTATATTCGAAATGTTTGACTAATATGCTATAGTCAGTATTGTGATTTTTTTTGTAAATTCTTACGTGCAGTATGATATGTAACGTCTGCTCATTCTTCTGCCGAGAATGATAATATCATGTCATTAATTTTTATTTTCGAATAAATCATTCTGAAATAATTATGTATTTTAGCAATATTTAGCAATATTTTTTCACAGATTTACTTTTTTTATATTTTTGTTTACTCTCAGGGTTGAGTTGAAAAACAGCTTTAGCTGACACTTCACCCATTCGTCATGAGGTTGTGTTGAATAAAGTCGATTTTTTTTTTCACCGTAGTATGCGCTGGTCAGGCCATATCCCCCGAAGCCCTGATATATTCGAGATGGCGCGCCGACATTATCAACCAACGACCACTCCCCACACCGTGGGGTAATTGATCATTGGGTCCGAGAATCATGTGCCCTGAGCAAATGCAGTGAGCCAAGAATGACAGCATTCTGCATCTGTCCGGCTAAGATTAGTGCGGCAAGCCGTTATGATTTTAAGATTCGAGAGTAGAGAGGGAATCATTACACCAAGTACTCCAATAATCAGAACAACCATCTTGACAGAGTTCCAACAGAAAATCTTGATATGTTATTCGATATTATAATTATTATTATATAATTAATTACAGGTCAATGACAAATTAATAAAGCGCTAAAATTAAAAAGTATAATTTATTCTTCGAAGGTGCGATTCTCTCCACTCTTGTGAATATAAAAACGTCCTCACTTATAAGGGAATTTGGTGAAATTTTGACTCTCCTGAATCATTGTTTTCATATTATTTGGCTGTGTATGGGTGTCAATATTTTTGATGTAAATGGAATGATTCAAGTTTTAAATCGTGTCATCACTAAATATTGATTAAAAAATAGTGGGTCTCTCAACAGGGACTTCCGTACTTTCACAATTGATATCGGTCATCTTGATGAAACTACATCTGTCAAATTAGTTGTTATCCATTCAGTATGTTTTGCCGAATCACCACGGACGAATATAGCATTCAACAACACGTGCGAATGATAAAATAATTTTATCAAAATAAGTGTTCTGTCCGGGCAACGTTCCGCACGCTTCGCCCGTTTAAGGTCGTCCTATTAAGAGGACTCTTCGCAATGAGATGTATAAATTTGAGTCCACTTGTTCAGTTAAAGATCGACCAACACCCGTTCGTCGACGAAACGCAGGATCTACCGAAAACATCGCCACTGTCTGTGTGAGTGTGCAGGAGAATCCGAGGCAGTCGATTTCACGTCGCTCACGAAAACTCGGCCTTTCGTAGACCACAACTTGCCGAATATCGTTTCGTGACTTGGGCATCGACACCGACGTGTATTAGCTGAATGAGCTCTGGAGCAGTTGGCAACTGACACTAATTCTCATCGAAAAATCATCTTTAGCGATGAGGCCAATTTCTGGAATAATGAGAACGGGAACAAACAAAATTGTTAAATTTGGGACGAAACCAATCCACATGAGATCCGAAAAAGTCACTGTTTGGTGTGGATTTTGGGTTGGCGACGTCATCGGTCCATATCTCTTTGAGATCGCATTGGACAATACATAAGTGTCGACGGCGAGCCCTACAGCTTTTTAGGTCGATGATTACCAACTTTTTTGGCATGAATTGGATGATCTGGACAACAACGACATGTGGTTTCACAAGAACTGCCTACGTACCACACAGCTCATGTCATATTGGATACTCTGTACGAACGATTTGAGAGCATGGTCATCTCATGTGATGTGAAATGGCCAACGGGATCATGCGTTTCGACACCGTTAGATTTTTTTTGTTGAGTTTCCTTAAGTCGCAGGTATATGCAAATAAGCCACAAACCACAACGGTCCTCAATACCTACATAACCCAGGCCATCGGTCGAATTCAGCCTGATTGATGCGCTAGAGTTAAGGAAAATGGGACGTTTCGGATGCACTCGTCTCAGAGAAATCATGGCGGACATTTGAACGATGTTATATTTCACACATAATGACATCAATAGGTCTTCAAAACAAATGAAAAATCGATAATATCTCACACAAACTTTATTTCATTCAAACTGAAGGTAGAAAGCGCTTTATGAAAGACCCTATACCTTTCCACACGCAATAAACGTAAAAATTACGGTATGGATTTTCATATGGTTCTCACGACGAAGTGAATCAATAGAAAGTTTCATGTTGATAATTGATTATTTGTTATGTTTGCATTAGTTGAAATATGGTGATGTAATCCGAAAGAAGTCGAGGCACTTTCATTGAAAACACTACCTTGCCCCTTTGAGATGAAGCAAATTATTCACTACATATTGATTTTTTTCAAAGGTTTATTTTCTACGTTTGAAGGGGATAGGTGAAAGCACTCGAATGACCTATAAATAGACAGATCTCGGAGGAATAAGTCCAGTTATCACCCGAAGACGATTGTGGATACTAACAATCAAACGTCGTGAATTAACATGGCTTGAAATCTTTTAATTTTGTTGATAATTTTTAATTTTCATCTCGTGTTAATAGTTCAATTTTTTATTTTTTCATTGTTACTTGTATTTCATTTAAATGTCATTTCAGTTTTTTTGCTAGCTATAATTGTTCTTTTTCAGCTAATCTTTTTAATTCTTATAAATTTCTTCAGGGATTTCAAAACAATCTATATAATATTAGACAATGGAAGTCCGAACGGATGAAAATTATTTTCTACACTCATTTGAATGTTTGAAATAATGGTGAAATGATGGTCGAATATATTGTGGTGATAGGACAGCTAATATTCGGATACGATATTGATATTTATAAAATTAATTCCTCAGTTACCTTGAGCTTTTCATGTACATCATAATTGCCCTCCACATTATAAAACTAGAATCAATATTTCAGAACCTATCGCAAACTCATAACTATCGCACGAGGAAATAAACTCAATAGGCATTACAAACACATGCAGCACGCGTGATGAAGAAATGTTGCAGTTGCATCGATTTTGTTCAACGCATTGATTCATATTTTTGTTCCATGTTGTCCTTAGGTGGATAATAACTGACATATTTCAAATTGAATCGATATTTGCAAACATATTTTTTGATTGAATTTTATCAAGGGTCATTATATGTTACAAGATGATGCGACATTATGACAGAATAAAAAATGTTGGTATATATTTTCTAGACCTGTATTAAGCCGGATCATGTCACTAGTTGTATATTGGAAAACAGTTGCAATCATCAATGCAAATTTCAATCATTTTACTTTTCTGAAATAAAAAGTCATTAACAGAAGAACTGAAAATATTCAACTAAATCGTCCATTCCCAATTAACTTAGGTCAGAACTACTTTCCGAAACATAATGTTCTTATCAAAATGTAGGTATCTAGGTCTCCTTCGAATCCATATATAGCCAACCAGAGGAGTCAAACCGTGGCAGTCCCACTTCATTTGCCCAACAATCAACACATCAAATCGATTTGAAATTTTCCGCCTTATTCACAGTTGTTCTATAATCGATAATACTGAAAATTGTTAAGGAATTTCTTCATAATATCTAACTTAGTCAAAAAATAGGTAACCGTGAAATCTTTCCTAAAATCTCATTCATCTATGCGCAAGTGAAAGAACACAGAAATCTAGGTACTTCAATTACTTTCTCTGAAACATTCACTTGAACTTATTTTAACCAATTCATTTGACACACGTTATTTGGCGAACACAAATTCAATTATTCTCATTATAAATGAGTTAACGATTTGTATCATATCTTTATTGTGAATGACAGTCAACAATTCAATGTGTTAGGGACACCTGCTGTCATCTTGTGGTTTTAATTGGCACTACAAATATGATTTCACCTCTCACTTATTTTTTTATTTCCGTAGCTAACCCGGTACTCCGCTTTCAATACAAGAGACACTTTCTAATTTTATTCTCATCAAAATATTCTTGAACCTGTTTCGATTTTACCTTCTACCTTGGTCGTGAGCCATTGCCAAGGTGAAATTTACTTATATGCCCGGCAGCACTAGAACTTTCGAGCCAAACTGAATCCTATTGGCGCGTTTCTAAAAACCCAATTTACTATATTCGAGTCGTTTGTACTCGTGATATTCCCCCAGAACAAACCAGTTTCCTCTCCCAAGGAAAAGCCACTCACCGTAACTGGGTCAATGGGTGATTGACATCGGTTGAACTTGTGGGGATCTTAAGAAAGGCAATTCAGAGAAATTTCTTTCATGTAGGCCGGTTTTCAATGTCATGAAAAGCCGGATATAAGAACAAGTCTTATTTATTCGATGTTTTTAATTAAAATATACCGAGTTGGAATGGAAATGTGTATGTATTTTTATGAATATAAACAATATAATGAAATATATTTATAGGATAAATTGAAACGGAAATATTCTTACAGTTTTCTAAAAAAATAGCTTTTAGCGTTCGATATTCGTGAATTGAAAATTCAATTTTAACTTACACTTCACAAGCGATATATTTTGAATAAATAGCTAAAACATTTTTCTAATCTCATGGTCCCACTTAACATTGAAAAGAGTGTTGGATAAAAAGTTGTGTGAATATTCAGATATATGTTTCCTGATTTTTTTTTGCAAAAAAAGGTGCTTTGGAGAAATAAAAAGTAAAGCTATCAATAGTATCTTTTATTGAAGGCGATTTGTTCTACAAGGAAGTGAGATTTGATTCAAATGACAATTGTACATAGACAAGGTCTTGAAAAATTATATCATGAATATATTTCATTCATAACAGAAAATATTGTTCCTGAGGTCACCGTTGTCCGTATAATTTGTGGAAATTAATATTCTCGCTATTTTGATGCAATTCATTTCGAATACTCAGATTTGGCAATATGCCAATAAATGATTCATTACAAAATATAGAACGTCAATGATTATGACGTTGAAGAAAGAGAAAAACTGGCCTTCTATGCAGTATCTTCTAGTGCACTTGAAATGTTTTAATTTTCATGTGTTATTGTTCATTCGAGCAGGTTATCTTTATCAAATGAAACAAGTCGCAATTTGTACAGCACACTTAACAAAAAGGCACCCAACAATCAAATAATTCAGCTATTGTTATGAAGTTGAATATTTCATGTGTCAATTTGGGCAGAAAACATTGTTGAGAATTCAAAGTAAGTTGTCAAAATCAACTTTGCTTTGATGGTTTCAAAGAAGAAATTGCAAAAGTCATACGTGCAGGTATTTACAATAATTTTGGAATGTATTAGGAGAAATGAAAATGATAAAATAAGTGATGAAGATGAAATTATTACGTGTGTAGGGGATGACTAGTCAAAAAATTGGTAATTGTCAAGTAATATTAATCATGTGCGTCACTGGTAAATATGAGTTAATCAAGTTTGTTTGTAGTGATAATATAAATAACTCTAGTCAGGTGATCCCTGAAAAATATACGAAATTAGTCAGTCACCTTTGTATGTCGTATTCCTATGAATGAAATACCATTTTGTACAATATTCAACAACCCAATAAATATATGAATAATAAATTACTATCCTAGGACTAATGAGATTCATATTGTTCTATTTTTTCCAATTCTCGTCAAATATCTCATGGAAACTGTCTGAATTCTGTACAATTAATATTCATAACGGCTTGTTCAGGAGATATTTTTCTTTGGAGACATGTACATCCATCTTGATAAATACTTTAATGAGTTTTGTACTCTTCCCATCCCTGGAAAGCCATATCACTCGCATCCCTTTTCTTCCTATACTCGTGCCCATGGCCATGACCTGCATGTATGACGGTATGACCACCATCATCATGATCTGAACTGACAAGTTTCTTCAAGCCTATGACCACAGACAGCATGAGAGCTAGGGCTGATACCATCAGAGCTTTCATGGCAAGAAGACCGACACCACCGATTCCAAGAGCAGCCATCATCTTTCCCATCATGAGTCCCATCATCATAACTCCTGCACCGCCTCCTCCACCGCCACCTCCTTTGCCTCCTCCACCACCGCCACCTTTTCTTGGTGAACCTGTAAATAAAATACCAATTGAAAAGTCGTTAGAAAAAGTTTGGTTTGTGAATATATACATTGCATCTTAGTCATAAAGAGTGATCTTGAATGAGTCATTTGATAATGTAGCTGCAAAAAAATTTATATCACTTCATCTTTTGTTATCAGGAGGATATACGTGATAAACAACCCAATAAAAATCCATATATTGAAAATTATATTTTTGAATTTGAAACGATGAGATAATTCAGAAAAATTGAAATATATTTTTGATTTTGTATTTACGATTTCGAACTAAGAAGAGGAAGTTAACAGCCAAATTAATTCCATCAAGTGTTTGAACTGAGTAAATAAATGAAATCTTTTGTCCCTCTGTATATTCTGAAGAATATTAGTTGGTTAGAATGGTAGTTTCTCCTCGTGAATTATCAACAATAGTTGACTGCTCACTGCGAGATTTCTATTTCAACCACAGAAAAATGTCTAGTGAAGTCGAATGGGGGGAATCTGGATAACCATTCTGTAGAACCTTCACTTCCAATCCATCGACCCGAAAAGTTATTATAGAGAACCTCCCTCATTGGAACTTCATTTTGTTACAGAATCATCTCATTTTTCAATAAAAGATCTGACTGGATGGCGTTAATAATGCTTTGCAGAACTTAATTTATCGAAAAATCAAAAAATCCCACATCATTTGGGTTTGCTTCCAAAGTTTCTGGTAAACATTTAGTTTCTGAGGTTTCTGGTGTGGATTTGGCGTGTTACATTGAGATTCGAAAAACTTTAGCCTCGGAAATTCTGACAATTTATTTGTCCATTTATCTGAGAAACATAAGGTGTTCAACAAACTTGGACTTGAACTTACAATAGAATATCATGAAGTTCAACTCTAATAAAGAAATCAATATCATTCAATTCATAGGTTATTTTCATTTCATAAGAGTGGGATTTGTGTCGATGAGAAATTCTAAAAACATTTGTACGATTCACTATTGATGCTTAAAATAAGTTAGTCAAAAATTGACCATGTTCCATCAATGTAACCATGAATTTCAATTATAATTAATTTGTTATTGACTGTTTTTGAACGACCATGTTGTCTGTTATCAACTTCAGCAGTTTCTTCTTTTTGGAAACACAAAGAGTTACTTTTGTAGATTTTTCATCTCAGTGGAAGAAAGTCTTCATTTTCGATTTCGAAGTGTAAAAACCAAACTCAAGTTATTCAACAATAAATACTTCATTGTGAGATTTTCAGTATTGGTGATATACGAATTGAAAATATTAAATTTGAGAAAATAAAATCAATTCAATGAAATAATATGTAGAAAGGTAAAGAAACGAAAAATGAAGAGATAGGTTAACCTACCAAAAACCATTTCAAGATCAATATTTACGATGATCACATACTATACAAAGTAATACACACAATCAACTTGATGACCTGGGTAACAGTGCAAAATAGGAGCTGTTATGAATGAGACTTTTGTCACCGTTCATAGAACTTATTCCACATTTTTAGATTTCTAAACTTTCGAAGGCACCACTTTTGTAACAGATGTACACTAGCGCTTTCTAGTTCATTATTTGAAATTTCTCATATGTCGCAACTGAAAATAATTAGGATTCACATAAGTAACAAAGTCTAGTTTATTGGAAGAACAGCTACAATGCTAAAAAATGCGTGGAGATCATGCAGAAGATGAATGTTCTATTCAGATTAATCCTCGAAGTAGAGTATTATTGCCTAGCTTTGTATGTGCACCAAACCTCAGAGTGTTAACTGAACCGAGGGATTATGAATTCGTGGTATTTCCTTCTTGTAACTCACCGTGGGGTTGGTATAAAGCTCAGCTTGTATGCCATACATAATGTTATTAGAATAGTATATAGTCTTAGAAATGACAACGAAAATTGAGAATAGAGAGTGAGCAATTTTAGTACTATTAGCTGCACATCAAAATGAAATCATAAATTAAACTCTTCAGATTTTCTATAGTTGCGTGGTGTCCCAGAAAACAGTTGAGGAAGATATATCCGTCTGAATTGAGAGGAGCATATTCTTAGGAGAGATTGATTTTTGGGGAAGAAAGATTTGGCTTATTACTTCCCAATCTTCATATAAAAAATGTGGAAATATTCCAAAGGAAGAAAGAAAGCATTCAATTTGAAGAAAGGTAAGTATCCAAAAATGTATTAGTCATGTTATAAGGTGAAAATAATACAAGCTCGTCGCCGCTAAATGTCCCACCTTCAATAACTTTGCGAGTAGAAAATAGCTCACTCACACCGTCAATATCACAAAATCTTCAACTAGTCACAATTACGAAATGATTCAAGTCCAAGAATGAGAACTTCGGAATTTTGCGAAATTATTAGGCGGTCCTCACGGTTATAAGGAGATTAACGTCATAGAAACCTGGGAAAAAAATAGAGTTGGCTTTTCCGCAATGAGAATAGTCTCACCGAAAAAAATCTTATAAACAAGCTAACGCTTCACAAATACAGACTGTTTTCACTTCACCATCTGAACCAACTCATCTTCGTCTTGGTTGGTGACAGATGGAGATGTCGTAAATATCCCTCCATCCTTTCTCTTTGAGGGTCATGGAAAATAAGTTTCGTCAATGATACTTTGCTACATTCAAGTGTTTTACAGGCAAACCCATAACATGCCAAGCCACTTCATATGTTCTCGGAGAAAAGTTCAAGGAGAATTTAATTGACTTTACTTTCCTGCAGGAACCCTGTACAAGAAATTCAGGTTGAGTAACCAGACTAAGCAGTGTTCCTGGTGTATTAATGTCGTACCCTGAAGTGAAACCCTCAGTATGTTTAGCCATCGTGAAAAATAGTGATTTGAAATGTTTTTATGCCAGGCTTCATTCGTTCATTTATTTATTGAAGAAATTGAAGATAAGAAAATCCTAATTGGATTACTCTTCTTCCCGAGTGATTCACAGATGAATCGAAAACATCTTCAGGTTCTGATGGAGATTGGTAGAAACCAACAGAGATTGATAGAAATCAACCCCGAACAGTAATTAATAAGTAGTTGAGCAACCTTGGAAAATCATAGGTCTTTCAAAAAAGACTCACTCTAATGAAAAGACTCAACAAATCATTTCTGATCTGGAACAAAACTGAAAAAAACTGCAAGTTGTTCCATCGGACCACAACTTGTTTATGGCTTTCGACTTTGCCAAACATTAAAGAAGAGTTTCAGGCTCCTTAAGTTAATTATACATGAATTGTTCCATTGTCCATTCTGAGGCATCCTTCAAATGCCTCCCTCCCAATACTTGTTACATTACAGCAGGGTGTCCTACATTGTTGAACAAATCTACTCACTAGACACTATCATTTGGACTGTCGAGAGATATGAGTAGTACGAGTCATATTTGTTTAGAAAATAATGAAACAGCGGAACATATATTCGATTTGCTTGGCTGTCTGCAGTCTGAATCAGGTTTTTGGAGTAAAGCAGAGTTCCACACTTGTCATCTGACTCGAAATATCACTCACAAAATAGGCTTATCGGTTCTGTCAGGGAGCTGAACATATTTGGTCGAGTGTTCATAGAAAGAGTAAAATACATATCAACACCATCACAGTCAATTGAAAAAAAGCACTTTTATATTATTTCTTATGTGTCTTCGAGACACATAACAAACAGTTCACTCTTTCTTGATTAATGAATCAAGATCACAAAAGTTCCTGAAGTTTTCCCAGAAGGCCTTTTGATGTTGAAATTCATAAAAGTGATAAGATTGGTTGATGAAATTGTACAAATTGTTTTGATCCGTATATTGAGAAATTGGGATTATTGTTATTTCAGAAATATACATACGTGAAAAACTAACTGAAGCAAAAGAAAGTGAAAATAACTGATTATAGAGGTTTTTTCCCAGTGTGTGTCTGAAAGTTACTTCAGCATGATCTACACCTCTGTATTGAGTTAAAAAATTTTGAAATTGCTTGCTTCCTTTCTTTGTGTGGAAGATTCCTACATTTTTTGTATCAAGAAAGAGCAACAAAAAAATTTAAATTCTGATTCTTAACTTTCTGCTCTTTTCTTTGTCATCATTGATAGACTGGCGGACTTTACGTAACCTAGAGGTATATCGTTCCAATCATGATTGCTGATAGTAATGATTTATCAGTCAGTTCTACTGAGTAAGTAGTTCAAAATTATGCTGGTGAAGACAGACTACATCAGCTTTTTTAAGTGTATTGGGAATGCTATAGTTTGATGGTAAAAGTTCGAATTGATTCAAAATCTATGTCTACCTGAATGCAACAAAAATTAAAAAATAATATACAGGGTGTCTCTAACTGTCTTTGCTATATCCGAAAGGATGATTATAGATAAATTTGAAAGAATATTCTCATAAATATTCACTACCTGAAATGATTCATTTGTGATATAACAATATTTTTTTAAATTTCTTCATATGCATCGTATATTTCTGGATTCATCAAGTTTAAATAAAATGAAGATGACACAATCCTAATAAGATTATTTTTTTTCCCGAGTGGTTCACAGATGAATTGAAAACGTCTTCAGGTGCTGGTGGAGATTGGTAGAAACCAACAGAGATTGAGTTGAATCAACCCCGAACAGTAAATAATGAGCAGTTGAGCAACCTTGGAAAATCTTAGGTTTTTCAAAAAAGACTCACTGTAATGGAAAGACTCAACAAATCATTTCTGATCTGGAACAAAACTGAAAAAAAAGCTGCAAGCTGTTCCATCGGACCACAACTTCTTTATGGCTTTCAACTTTGCCAAACATTGAAGATGAGTTTCAGGATTCTTGATGAATTGTTCCATTGTTCATTCTGAGGCATCCTACAAATGCCTCCCTCCCAATACTTGTTACATCACAGCAGGGTGTCCTACGTTGTTGAACAAATCTACTCACTAGACACTATCATTTGGACTGTCGAAAGATATGAGTAGTACGAGTCATATTTGTTTACAATTTTGTAAATGTAAATGTAATGTAAATGTAAATGAAACAGCGGAACATATATACAATCTGCTTGCCTGACTGCAGTCCGAATCAGGTTTTTGGGGTAAAGCAGAGTTCCACTCTTGTCATCTGACTCGAAATGTCACTCACAAAATAGGCTTATCGGTTTCATCAGGGAGCGGAACATATTTTGTCGAGTGTTCATAGAAAGAGTAAAATAAATATCAACAAATATCTTTTGTTTCACCACCATCATAATCAATTGAAACCTTTTGAAATGAAAAAATTGATGCTGTGTTTCGGTATAATATTTGAGAAACTAGAGAAATGCAAATTCTCATATACCTCATTAGTTCCTAATTGTCTGAAGATGCGAAATTTTCAATAATAATTCAAGAGAAATTGATTTCTGGATTGTACCTCATTGTGTTGGATCCAGAAGAGTAGTAGCCGAAAATCAAATTCATATCATCGAAAACAATACAATGAATTGGAATGATTCAGAAAGTTTCTGTTCCATCATTGAAGTGACAACCAGTGTCTGTTTCAAGTGGAACAGACACTAGCTGTCTGTTCCACTTGGAACAAACATAATTCATAAGTTCTTCGTTATTGATGTGTATCATTTCCAAAAATATTCTTTTTACTATAACCTCTAATTAGTAAGTACATTTTTTACATTTGTCTTACAATTTTGTTGCAAGGTTGAACAAAGTAGAACAGAGATTTGATTTTTGATTTTTTGACTGAGAGACCCCGTTAATCCATTTTGGTGTACATTTCTTCAGTCGCTAAGATTATCCACTATATAT